CAGGAGAATTGCTTGAACCCAGGAGGCGGAGGTTGCGGTGAGCCGAGATGGTGCCATTGCACTCCAGCCTGGGTAACAAGAGCGAAACTCCTTCTCAAAAAAAAAAAAAACAAAAAAAAAAACTGAAGGCTAAGTGTTGATGTTTTCAGTATTAAAATAATGGAAGAAAGTGGTTTAATACTACATTATTATTAACTTTCATGGTCAGTGTGCTGTTTTTTTACATTGAATAGTGAAAGTACAGATACTCTTGAACTTATAGTGGGGTTACATTCCAATAAACCCATTGTAAATTGAGGATAATAAAAGTTGAACATTTAATACACCTAACTTACTGAATACCATAGCTTAGCCTAGCTATTAAATGTGCTCAGAAAACTTACAGTAGCCTACCATTAGGCAGTCATCTGGTCACACAGTACACAGTAGAGTATTCGTTGTTTTTGTTTTGTTTTGTTTTGGCATGGAGTCTTGATCTGTCGCTTAGGCTAGAGTGCAGTGGTGCGATCTTGGCTCACTGCAACCTCCACCTCCTGGGTTCAAGCAATTCTCCCGTCTCAGCCTCCTAAGTAATTAGGATTATAGGCAGCCGCCATCATGCCCAGCTAATTTTTTTGTATTTTTGTAGAGACAGGGTTTCACCATGTTGGCGAGGCGGGTCCCGAACTCCTGACCTCAGGTGATCCACCTTGGCCTCTTAAAGTGCTGGGATTACAGGCGTGAGCCATTGCACCTGGCTGAGTATTGGTTGTTTGCCGTCATGATGCATGGCTGACCAGGAGCTGAGGCTCGCTGCTGTTCTCCAGCATCACAAGAGAGTATCATACCGAATATTTTGAGCCTGTGAAAAGATCAAAATTCAAAATTCTTGGTATAGTTTTCACTGAATACATACCACTTTCACACCATCATGAAGTTGAAAAATCATACATTGAACCATTGTTAAGTCAGGGACCATCTGTAATTATATACTGGGAGGGGATGACTATATGTATGATAGTTAAAAGCGAAAAATCCAATCATGGGTCAGACGTCAAGATAGAGATGGAATTTATTCTTCCAAATAGATTGGAACAGGTTTCATGTAGTAGAAATGAATGACCGAGAGGGGAAGGCTTTAGTTGATCAATAACCATTTATTGACATCCTACTGTGTGCTCTAGCACTATGCTTGACTACAAGATAGGATATAAATAGAGTGGAAGGCGGCTGCCCCCTAAGAAAATTACATTCTTTGAGTGAAAAGCAAGTAACAAATCAGTATGTTTGGTGAGAAAAAGGTATGTATTATGTATATTTAATGCTTCTGTTGGCATAAAGAAAATTAGAGGAGGTTAAACTATAAAATATTAACAACGTAGAAAATCCTAGTTATTCAAAGATAATTGGATTCGAAAATGGCAAGTAAAGTGAATTCATTTAACACAGAAACCAAAAGTTATTGTAAAACATAAAACATTTGTTTGGGACCCAATAGGGAAAAACAAAGCTCAAAGTGATAAGGATAAGCAGATTTTATATTTGATGGAATTGTTATAAATGAAATAATAGGCAAGTTTTAGAATGAATAAAGAATAAAGTATAGACTGGATTTCTTTGCTACAATTTTTGTGGGAAAATTGTATGACAACATTATAGACCACCTTTTATTTTTATTTTTTTAGCCCCACCCAAATCTCATCTCAAATACCTTTTATTTCATTTTTTGACATGTTGAAAAAATGTTTTAGAGATTTATCAGTTTTTGTAGGGACTGCTCTTCGACCTTTGGTATTCAGGCCATTCTCTTTTGTTGTTTCTACTGTACAGTACTGTTTGATTGTTAACTGGTAACACTTCTGTCAGATTCTCAGCTGCCAGTAATAAGTTCCAATGTTCTCCAGCATCACTTTCTTAAAATACTACATCCTTACAATTGTAGTAGAAACATATACTTTTGTTAATCATATAGGTATACAGGGCAGTTAATTAATGAATATTTTAGTGTTATGTTAACTTTTGGTTTTCCTTATGTAACCTAAATATTCATCAGTGAATATTTTAGCGTTAGAACTTTTGGTTTTCTTTATGCAACCTTTTAACCATAAAAAAATTATATAATACTAGGATAATGACACTCCTGTAGTTTTTTTTCTGAGTGGTGAGATTTCTTTCATTGATTTTAATTAATTAGTTATTACTTACCTGTGTAGTCAGTTTTCTTTATTTGAGATATTTAAGTTCTATAAAGTCACCCCCGACACTGAATTAGTGAATACTGAACCAGTGCTCCTTGGGGAAATAAAGGGTTAGGTTCCTGTGAGTTTCTCATCACATTTTCATCAACTGATGAATACATAGCCTTGTTTATGTGTGTTTCTGTTTAAAGACACCTTATTTAGTACATATTGTTGATTTATTAACATTGTACTCAGGCCTAGCGCAGTGGCTCACGCTTGTAATCCCAGCACTTTAGGCGGCCGAGGCAGGTGGATCACCTGAGGTCAGGAGTTCAAGACCAGCCTGCCATCCCGGTGAAACACCATCTTCTTATAAAACAAAAAGAAAAACAAAAAACAACATTGTACTCATGGCCAACAGCACTGTAGCACTTGCCTAAACAAAGCTGACCTAAGACAGATATTTTCTCTGTGGGGCATATGACAGCCTTCTTGCTCTTGGGACACTAGACAACACTTCAGCTCTATGCTTAGGGGTCATTTTAAATAGTGAAATCAACAAAAAAGCACAAAGTGTGGAAAATGTGGTACTAAATAGACTGAAAAGGGCATTTATTTATGGTATAGAGCTGGAACAAGAAGGTAGACACCTTGTCTCAGCTGGGAATGCACACATCAGGGAACTCATGTTTTTCACTGCTCTCCACATGTTTGTGAATGACTGGGAAAGCTAGTGAGTATGGATTTTGGGTTTAGAAATGAATTTTAGGTCGGGCGTGGTGGCTCATTCCTACAATCCCAGAACTTTGGGGAGGCCAAGGCAGATCACGTGAGTCCAGGAGTTAGACCAGCCTGGGCAACATAGTGAAACCCTGTCTCTGCAAAAAATACAAAAGTTAGTTCGATGGTGGCATATACCTGTGGTCCCAGTTACATGGGAGGTTGAAGCAGGAGGATCGTTTGAGCACAGAAGTCGGAGGTGGCAGTGAGCTGAGATTGCACCACTGCACTCCAGCCTGGGTGACAGAGGGAGATGACCCTGTCTCAAAGAAAAAGAAAAATTTTAGCAAGTAGGCAAATTTGCAAATGCAGAATCCAAGAATAATGAGGATTGGCTGTATTTTCTACTTTTTCACTTGCTCAGGTTATTGTTGTAATTTTAAAAAAATGAACAAATTAAGCTTTTAGAAAATTAAATTACAATATAATTTGGAAGATAAAGCTAAGGCTTTAAAAATAAATAGAAAGCAGACAGGCGCGGTGGCTCACGCCTGTAATCCTAGCACTTTGGGAGGCTGAGGTGGGTGGATCACCTGAGGTCAGGAGTTCAAGACCAGCCTGGCCAACATGGTGAAACCCCATCTTGAAAAAAAAAATAGAAAGGCTTTTAAAACACAGTGTATTGGTTGGATGCGGTGGCTCACATCGGTAATCCCAGCACTTTGGGAGGCCAAGGTGGGTGGATCACCTGAGGCCATGAGTTAAAGGCCAGCCTGGCCAATATAGTGAAACCCCATTTCTACTAAAAATACAAAAATTAGCTGGACGTGGTGGCAGGTGCCTATAATCCCAGCTACTTGGGAGGCTGAGGCAGGAGAATCACTTGAACTCGGGAGGCAGAGGTTGCAGTGAGCCGAGATTGCGCCATCTGACTCCATCCTAGGTGATAGAGCAAGATTCCATCTCAAATAATAATAATACAGTATATTCTCTTATATGTGTGTACATGAGTATGGGTAGACTAATGCTATAATAGGTATTTAAAAGAGGGAAGAGTCTGGGCATAGTAGCTCACACTTGTAATCCCAGCACATTGAGAGACTGAGGTGAGAGGATTGCTTGAGCCCAGGAGTTTGATACCAGCCTGGGCAACATAGTAAGACCTTGTGTCTATAAAACAAAATATTAGCTGGGTGTCATGGCGCACACCTACAAATCTAGCTGCTGAGGAGGCTGAGGTAGGAGGATTACTTGAGCCTGGGAAGTTGAGGTTTTAGTGAGCCATGTTCAGGCCACTGAACTCCATCCTGGGTGAGATAACGAGAGGCAGTCTCCAAAAAAGAAAAAAAAAGAAAAAGAAAAGAGGGAGGAGCATTGGAGGAGAAAGAGAGAAGGCAGAGAAGAGAGGTGGGACTGTTTGGTTATATTCATTAATTATAAGACTGCTGTCAATAAATCTGAACAACTGAAGCCAGGTTAAAAATAAGTAGCTGTGAATACTGAAGGGATTTATCCGAAAGATGGCTCTAACCTCCAAAAGCACGTGTTTTAATAGAGCACAGAAGCATGTTGAATTAATATATATGGTTTAATTTAAATGTACAAATTTGGGGGAGAAACTGAAATTTTTCTGTAGCTGTGTTTAAGATCTTGTTAACTTACTTGCCTTTCTCAGTCCAACTTTGCCTTTTCTTACATATAGTCACATGAATGCAGACATAAAGATAGCTCCCTGTTGGCTGGGCATGGTGGCTCACACCTGTAATCCCAGAACTTTGGGAGGCCAAGGCAGGCAGATCACCTGAGGTCAGGTGTTCAAGACCAGTCTGACCAACATGGAGAAACCCTATCTCTACTAAAAATACAAAATTAGCCAGGTGTAGTAGCTCATGCCTATAATCCCAGCTACTTGGGAGGCTGAGGCAGGAGAATCGCTTCAACCCAGGAGGCAGAGGTTGCAGTGAGTTGAGATCACACCATTGCACTCCAGCCTGGGCAACAAGAGCAAAACTCTGGCTCAAAAAAACAAATAAACAAACAAAAAGATAGCTCCCTGTTAACACCAAGTTGCGGAGACACATGATTGTCAATTAAAATTCTTAAAAATTATTTCTGTTTTAGGAACAGCAGCAGTATTGGTATCGACAGCACTTGCTTAGTTTGCAGCAGAGGACAAAAGTTCATTTGCCAGGACACAAAAAGGGTCCTGTGGTAGCAAAGGATACACCAGAGCCGGTAAAAGAAGAAGCTTCAGTACCTGCCACCAGTCAAGTTCCAGAAACTCCTTCTTCTGAGGAGCCCCCATTGCCACCTCCAAATGAGGAAGTGCCACCTCCTCTCCCACCTGAGGAACCCCAGGTAACCATATAATCTGTTTAGTGTTTATTAAATTACTTAGCTTTTTTCCTGATTCATTTATGTATGCTTTTATCATAAATGGATATATATTTTTGTTTTTTTAAGTATCTATAAAATTGCATTTGTGAAATAATCAGATATCTGTTGTATCAGGTTTATTTATTTATGTTTTTGAGACAAGAGTTTTGCTCTGTTGCCCAAGCTGGAGTGCAATGGCACAATCTTGGCTTACTGCAACATCTGCCTCCCAAGTTCAGGCAAATCTCCTGCCTCAGCCTCCTGAGTAACTGGGATGATAGGCACATACCACTATGACTGGCTAATTTTTGTATTTTTTAGTAGAGATAGGGTTTTACCATGTTGGCCAGGCTGGTTTTGAGCTCCTGACCTCAAGTGATCTGCTTGCTTCGGCCTCCCAAAGTGCTGGGATTACAGGCATGAACCACTGCACCTGGCCTGCTGTATCAGGTTTAGAAAAGGAATTTTTTTCCTGGGTTAAGTGAATGAAGAATTGGATACTCTTCTGAATTGAGTGCCTCTAAGCACTAAAAGGATATACCAGCGTATGTTCATAGAGACAGTACAGGGCTTGAGCTTTTAGAGTCAAGCTGCCCAGGCTATAGTCCAGGTACTGCCACTTGTTAACCATTTTGTGCTTCATTTTACATCTCTTCAAAGTCAGTATATTCGATAGTAGCTATCACATAGATGTATTGAAGCATTAAATGTGATTATCCTTGTCACTCAGCATAATGACTGGCACATGAGAGGTTCTCATATTGGTCCAAAGGTCGTCGTTGTTCTCCCAAGAGCCTCATGAAAGCCTTATCTAGCTATAATGATTATATTGTAGTTCATTGATGAAAAGTGACAAAAAAAGAAAGGGATTTCTCACAGAGTGAAAAGGTCTGTAACTTAAGATTCTCTTTTTTTTGTTTTTTGTTTTAGACAGGGTCTCACTCTGTTGCCCAGGCTGAAGTACAGTAGTGTGAACTCAGCTCACTTCAGCCTCAACCTCCTGGGCTCAAGTGATCCTCTCCCACCTCAGCCTCCCAAGTAGCTGGGACTTCCTTCTTTCCTCCCTTCCTCTCCCTCACTTTCCTTTTTTTTTTTTTTTTTTTTTTTTTTTTTTTTTTTTTTTTTTTTTTTTGAGATGGAGTCTCATTCTGTCACCCAGGCTGGAGTACGGTGTGGTGACACGATCTTGGCTTACTGCAAACTCCACCTCCCAGGTTCAAGTGATTCTCCTGCATCAGCCTCCCAAGTAGCTGAGATGACAGGTGCCCACCACCAGGTCCAGCTAATATTTGTATTTTTAGTAGAGACAGGGTTTCACCATTTTGGCCAGGCTGGTCTGGAATTCCTGACTTCGAGTGAGCCGCCTGCCTCAGCCTCCCAAAGTTCTTGGATTACAAGTGTGAGCCATGGCGCCTGGCCTGGGTTGACTTTCTACTGGAAAAGTTGTTGTCCTGTTTAGGAATAATAAGGTTATTATTCCAGAGAAGACTATGGAATTTATAAACTCCTTTTTATTAGTAGCCATAATAGTAAAGATAGAGCTTTGTGTTTTATCTAAAGATAGAATGGCTTTTCTCAATCCAAAAAGAACTAAAGATACTGTGTTTGACAATTGGATATTTCTGAGTTGTAGAGATATATATTTTTTCATGTATTTTTGGTTGCTGTTTTATGACTTACATAAAAATGTGTCCTCTTTTATCTTTAGTCCGAGGACCCAGAAGAAGATGCCAGGTTAAAGCAGTTGCAGGCTGCAGCAGCACACTGGCAGCAGCACCAGCAACATCGAGTTGGCTTCCAGTATCAGGGAATAATGCAGAAGCACACTCAGTTACAGCAGATTCTACAACAGTATCAGCAGATTATACAGCCCCCACCGCATATACAGGCAAGTGCTTCCATAGCCCACAAATAGGAAGTTACCCTAAGACATTGAAAGGATTTATTATTATTGAAAGATTTAAGTGTGAAAAACGAAAAGATGTCACCTGTTGACAATTAGTTGTTTCCCAAGGGGGGCTGCCCAAATAGTTATGTGTCACATTACCTGGGGGACTGGGGAGGGGTGGGTTATAGTAGAGTTTCCTGATCGTGTCAACCCAGGCCAGATGTTAGCCTACTATTGCTAAGGGTAAGAACCTGGGATTTTTACCATTTAGCTACATGTTAACCTGTATTTTGTTTACAAACTACTACAGTAACAGATAAGCAAAAAGGCCAAAAAACAACCATCACAAAAAACCTAAGCAAATATATGATAAAAGATAAAGTGACTTAGATACTTGCCTGTCTTGTATCTTTGAAGTATAATGTGTCTGTATATCTATAATGATAGATCATTTTTCAAGCTCTTGAAATTATCCATGTTAATATTAAAAACTTGACTGCCAAGATAGATATTTGCTTTAGCATGTGGTTGGTTTTTCCAACTCTATGGTAAGTTTTCTAAGCCAAAGGAAGGAAGAAGAATGATCATCACTCAAAGAACTTAACAAGCTTATTCTTAGCCTCCAAAAGTCTTTAGTGTTCTAATTTCCTAAAGCGTCAAATGCCCTTGATTCATTAATATTTCAACCTATGATTAATTCTTTTATATGAATGTTTTGAAATAGTTTTTATCCCTTTATTTGTAGACCATGTCTGTAGATGTGCAGCTGCGGCATTATGAGATGCAGCAGCAACAGTTTCAACATCTTTACCAAGAATGGGAGCGAGAGTTTCAGCTATGGGAGGAACAACTCCATTCCTATCCTCATAAAGATCAGCTTCAGGAGTATGAGAAGCAGTGGAAAACATGGCAGGGACATATGAAAGCCACTCAGAGTTATCTCCAGGAGAAAATCAATTCATTTCAGAACATGAAGAACCAGTATATGGGGAACATGTCAATGCCACCTCCTTTTGTTCCATATTCTCAGATGCCTCCACCTCTACCTACGATGCCCCCTCCTGTGTTGCCTCCATCATTGCCACCACCAGTGATGCCCCCTGCCCTCCCTGCTACAGTGCCACCACCTGGTATGCCCCCTCCTGTTATGCCACCTTCTCTACCAACCTCTGTCCCCCCACCAGGGATGCCTCCCTCTCTCTCTTCTGCAGGGCCACCACCAGTTCTCCCCCCACCTTCCCTCTCTTCTGCAGGGCCACCACCAGTTCTTCCCCCACCATCTCTCTCTTCAACAGCACCTCCACCTGTCATGCCCCTTCCACCATTGTCTTCAGCCACACCTCCTCCGGGAATACCTCCTCCTGGAGTTCCGCAAGGGATACCTCCTCAGTTAACAGTAGCCCCAGTTCCACCAGCCTCCAGTTCACAGAGCTCACAAGTTCCAGAGAAACCTAGGCCAGCACTGCTTCCTACTCCTGTGTCTTTTGGTTCTGCCCCACCCACAACTTACCATCCTCCATTGCAATCATCTGTTGGTCCATCAGAACAAGTGAATTCAAAAGCTCCTTTGAGCAAGTCTACTCTGCCATACAGTTCGTTCTCATCTGATCAAGGACTTGGGGAGTCTTCAGCTGCCCCATCTCAGCCAGTCACTGCAGTGAAGGACATACCAGTGAGGTCAGGTGGCCTGCTTCCAGATCCTCCTAGAAGTAGTTACTTGGAAAGTCCCAGAGGCCCAAGGTAGGCCTGCCTTTTTTTTCCTCTCTCTCTTTTTTTTTTTTATTTTTGGTTTGGCTATTTTGTTGACTTAGGTTGTATAGTTCTTGATGACATTAAAAACTTCATTTATACAGTTTTTATGCTGTCTTTGTACTTAAATTGTCTGCTTGTTAGACATCACGTATGTAATCTAGGAAAGGTAACATTTCCCCCATTTCTTTGATGTCTCTGCTTTTGTCCTATATGTAGAGATTACAGTCCAGAATGAATGTAGTATTGTGCAATAATGCTTATCATTTTGTATTGACTTAGCTTCAAAAATAATATTTATTAAACTTATCTTTTTTGCTTTTTCATTTATTTGACAAATAATTGAATCGGCAATTACTATTTGTTAGATGATTTGTTAATTGTTAGAGATAAAGATGAATAAGCCAATATTCTTCTGGCTTGAGGCAATGAAATTTAGTGTAAGGTAAATAGGACTTTTATCCATTCAGCAAATATTTAAGTTCCTGCTCTGTGCTTAGAGCAGTGAATATAACAGAACTCATAAAATTCTTGCCCCCATGGAGCTTAACATCCTTTATATTTTCTCCAGTTAAGGAGATAGTTGTGTTTTGTCTGAACCACATATTTGGAAAGAAAAAAAAAATAATGGTGTGTAAGCTTTTTCTTTTTACCTTTTAAAAACTTATTTTTTCCAAGTTTGTAAAAACAGACTTTTCTCCCCAAATTGACCTAAGTGATAACTTTTCTATGGAAATTATTATTATTTTTTGAGACAGGGTCTTGCTTTTTCACTCAGACTGGTGTGCACTGACACAATTATGGTTCAGTGCAGCCCCAGCCTCCTGGGCTCAAGCAATCCTCTCATCTCAGCCTCCTGGGTAGCTGGGACCAGAGGTGCACACCACCACATCTGGCCAATTTTTAAAAAATGCTTTGTAGAGATAGGGATCTTCCTGTGTTGACCATGCAGGTCTTGAACCTCTGAGCTCAAGCGATTTTTCTGCCTTAGCCTGTCTGCCTGCCTTGGTCTCCCAAAGTATTGGGATTGCAGGCGTGAGCCACCACACTCAGCCAGAAAAATACTTTAATCAGTTTTTTTCCCAATTGGGAATTGTACTAGAAATGCATACTCCTTATACAAAATTCAAACATTACAGAAAAGTATAGAAAAAAAAGTGAAAGTCACCTAATTCCACCATCTGGAAAGAATCATTTTAAAAATATATGCTATAAAAATGGGATCATACTGAGTAGATTATTTGTGACTTAATTTTCCACCAATCTGTGTATTGCTTAGATTTCCATCTCATTATCAATGGATCTATATCATCATTTTTTTCAATCTCATTTTAGCATTTGAAAACAAAATATATCTTTTATTCCCCAAGTTTATAGTTCTGAAAGCAGTATGGCACCAAACTCCATCCAATATCAAAGTTAAGAGAAAGGGGCAATTAGCATGAATTCTACTGTGTACCAAGAAGCCTTGCTAGAGACTTAACACACATTATTATCTCATGGGAGTCTTCATAACACCCTGTGAAGTAGGCAGATTATTCTGTATTTACCCTTAACAAACTAGCACTGAGAGGATTGGGTAACTTGCTCAGTCAGGATCATGTAACTGAGTAAGTAGAACCCCAGTCCAGGTACAGTAGAGTCCAGAGGGTCCCCAAAGCAAAAGCACTATTTAAGCACTGTTTACTGCCATGATTCAAGCCCACACTGTCAGTGCTTAAAGATACGTTTGTAGATTTGATTTATTTGGCATGTGTGTCATCTTGATTTGAATTTGTACTTATCTCCTGGCATGAGCATTGCCTTTTAGATCTGGTGACTAATTTGCTATCAGAGAAGTACATTCTTAACACCTTATGAAACATACATTTTCTGCTCTCATGATTTCTGTCATGTTAATATTTTCTCTCTTTGCCTACTAAATCTTGGCTGTGTGAATTTAGGACCTATTTTAAGTTTTTTCTTCAAAGAAAGTAACTTCCAAAGTTAATAATCCAATGCTTGGAGGATATCAGCAATTATCTAATATTATATTCCTCTACGGCAGTGCACATTTGTGTTGCATTTCAGTTTGTCACAATGGGTCTTGTACATATCATCTTTTTTATTCCTCTTAGTGATCTCAGGAGGTAAATAAATACATAAGAAAAGCTGAGATTCAGAGAGGTTGTAAATAAATTGCCTCATATAACGTAGCTAGTAAATGGTTGAGATGGGATTAGAATCCAAGGACTTCTGATCCACTTTAAGTCCATTGTACTTTTTGTGATGAGCAGTGGTATGCTTAACATTGGCACTGTGATAAGGAACACTGTCATATAAGGTATTGATTCTAGAAAGTTTGCTTTTTACATTGAACCCAAATGTGATTCTTTAACTGTTATCTGTTGATTTCTAGATTTGCCTCTGGAGCAACACAGAATGAATTATCCTATCCCTCTTCTACAGCGTGTCACTATAGTTATTTAAAAACTGTTACCCTTATGTCTTCCTCACTTTGCCTTACCCAGTCTGCTCTGCCAGTCACAACTCAGATTCTTTTCGTCTTAACATTGGTTCTAACTTCCTCCTGCTGTACTGCTCACTGTCCTTTGAAGGGCCTTTGGTTTGTTAGTCCCCTTCAGAACGATCACTTACTTCAGATGCAGAGGACCATAGGCCTAGTACCAACTTCATTATAAATAGTGTGCTTATATTATATAGCTTGACAAATTGCTTTTTTGTTTTTTTCAGCACTCACAATGTTGACTCTTGTTGAGCTTAACATCAATTTAGCTTCCCAGATCTTTTCACATTAACTTTTAAGCCAAATCTCTCTTATCCTGAACTTGTGTGGTTGGTTTTTTGTTTTTGCTTTTCTTGTTTCTTTTTCTAAGACTTTAGATTTATCTTTAGATTTTTTTTTCTAGTTAAGTTTGTGCCATCATTTCAGTCTGCTGAAATCTTGGTGGATGATTTTATTGTTTTAGGTATGTGATATCTTTCTTCAGCATTTTCATCTTCAGCTTTGATAAGTATGGCTTTTTAATCCTTGGATTGGATCCTGCTCGCATTGTCCACCTTGTTTTGAAAACCTTTCCCCAGACTAGCTTATGTCATTGCCACTTCAGTCACCCCTCTGCTTCTTTCGCTCACTTAGCCCTTATATAGTTTGGGAGTGTTACCCAGACATAGTTCTTTTTCTCCTGTGTAACTAGGTAAAAAAAAATCGGTGGGAAGCTGGTTAGTGAGTGAACAGGACAGATAAGAATAATCGATACTGTTAAGGCCACCTGTAAACTTCCTTTATTCCTAATTCAGATTTTGCTATCAATATATAACTGGTGTGGTAAGCCACTTTTAAAAAAAAATAATAAAACTGGTTAGAAAAACAAGAATTTAGAACACAGCTAAACAACTTTACCAGTAACATGCTATTAAAATAAAGTACTGTAAATGGCTTTGAGTTTTTGCAAAATCCAGATTTAGGCTTCTTTTTTATAACAGGAGTTCTAAAAAAGTCACATGACAAAACTGCATTACGTGTAAATAGCATGTCACATTGTTGAGCATCTAGGGGAGCTGTTTTGACACTATGTGTATCATTGGGTTCACTCAGTCTTCCAGAAGACTACTGTTGCTCCGGTGAACTGTCATATCAATGGATGTTCGTTTTCCAGAACATTTTATTTTTCGTAAATAATAAAACTTACCTACTGAAAGATAACAGAGAAGTGCACAATTTTAAGTGTACAGCTTAGTGAATTTTCACAAAATAAAGACACACATGATATCACTACTAGATCAAGAAATAGGAATTACTAGTGCCCAAGAAATTCCTCTTGTTCCCCTCAGTTATTTTCTATTACCCCAAAGATAACTGCTGTACTGAGCCATAGATTAGTTTTGCCTATTTTTGAACTTTCTATGAGTGAAATAATACTGTATGTACTCGTGAATTGGGCATCTTTCACTTGACATTGTGTTATTGTGAGAGTCATCCATGTTGTGTGTAGTAGTAGTTTGTTTATTCTCGTTCCTGTACAATTGTTGATTGCATGAATATACCACAATCTGTTTATCCATTTTAATATTAATGGTCATTGAAGTTTTTTGGTTGTTATGAAAAGTGCTGCTATGTGTCTTTTGACACTGTATGTGTCCCGTTAGATGTATGTGTGTTTGTGAGTGTTTAATTTTGTTTGGATATCTACTAAGGATTGGAATTTCCTGAATATAGAGCATATACATGTTCTGTGCTAATGAATATTGTTAAAAATTTTTTCAAAGTGGTTGTTTCAGCTTATACTCTGACCAGCAATGTTTGTGTTGTTGCATCCTTATCAACACTTGGTATTGTTAAACTTTTAAGGTTTAGCAATCCTAGTGGATGTATAGTGGTATCATGATAATGGATTTAATTTACATTTCCCGGATGACTAACAAGGTTTCACTTCTTTTCATTTGATTATTGTTAATTTGGATTTTCTGTCTTATGAAATGCTGATTCAAGTCTTTTTTCCATTTTTTTGACTGGTTTTTATGTCTTACTGATTTTGTAGGAGTTCTTTATTCTACAGTTCTTTATCCATTGTGTGTATTACAGATTTCTCACTGCAGCGCTTTTTATTTTAATGAGCATATGAAAGTAAACGCTACAGGCTGGGCGCAGTGGCCCATGCCTATAATCCCAGCACTTTGGGAAGCTGACATAGGCAGATCACTTGAGGTTATGAGTTGGAGACCAGCCTGGCCAACATGGTGAAACTTTGTCTCTACTAAAAATACAAAAATTTGTCAGGCATGGTGGTGCATACTTGTAATCCCAGCTACTCGGGAAGCTGAGGCATGAGAATCACTTGATCCCAGAGGTAGAGGAGGCACTGCACTCCAGCCTGGGGGACAGAGCAACAGAGTGAGACTCTGTCTCCAAAAAAAAGAGAAAGCAAACATTGCAATATGACAGTTTGATTTCAATATTCCAGAAAAGTAGTCTTTACCATTTACCATTT